CATAAATTGCAACTATTTCCACCGGCTTTGATTGAACTTGCTCGGGATAAGATGGACCACTTGATATTAAATTGTTTTCTATTTAGTTTTAGTTTCCAAACATGTTTAGAAAGTTCAGTTTCATTCTCGTATTTAATGTCATTGAATGATTTCTTGTGATTTCTGTATCTCTCCTTAAATGTTGTCGCTGTCATACCAATGTAGGTTTTTATATCGTTGTTGTCTTTCATTTTTACCTCGGCTTGATAAACTAAATCTTTCGTCAAGCACATGTTGTTAAGCGGGCATTCGTTTACATTTCTGCAGTTACAAAGTTTTTCAATGTTGTTATCATTGGTAGATTCTTCGGATTTAGATTCTCTCAATACGCGTTTGTTATGTCTCGATATGACGCTCTTTACACTATTCATACAGCTATAGCTAACTTTGATCGTATTTCGGTTGAAGATCTTATGCAGGGGTGATGTTTTGGGAAAATGTTTGTCGATTAAATTCAAGAAATCTCGGGCGACATTGGTTCGTACGTTTTTACTATACGGCGGGTTGAACCAGTAATTCTTCTTGTGCGTTTATGTTTCTCGTTTTGCGATCGACTTTCGGTTGTAGGCGTTGCTTCAGCAGTTGAGCTTCTACAGATACATATATATTATATGTATATATATATATATATGTATATATATATATATATATATATATATATATATATATATATATATATATATATATATATATATATATATATATATATATATATATATAATATAATTGATTAATATGTTGCCTGATGATTGCTTGTTGCATGAAACTTAAAGTAGCAACTTATTCAATTGAAAAATTGTATTAAAATATTAAATTATTATTATATGCTCTACAATTGTCTTGTATTGAGCACTCTTTATTCTTAAAAACGGGAAATTACTTTATGAAATTATAGTACAATATATATATATATATATATATATATATATATATATATATATATATATATATATATATATATATATATATATATATATATATATATATGAGTAATAGGACGGTATGATTTGGAATAAAATATCGCAATTTTGAGATAATCCCAACATTTTTACTAATCTTTAATGCAATATAGTCAATGTGATGCTTCCAACTTAAGTGGCAATCAATAATGATACCAAGATACTTTATAATATCTTTGCATTCGAGTGGTATGTATTGCTTAGAATTGTTATCATACATGTTAATTACTGGATGATAATTTACTCATTTCTGGGGTGGGCGTAGACTTTCCAAAGTCCGCGGTTCGTGGTTCCTGGAAGCGACGGACTTTTGTCACCCGCAAGCTCGCCAAATTCACCGGTGCATTTTTGCTCCGGTGACGTCAGTGAATGCTCATTATTATTCTGTACTAACGACGCCATTTTGTAAAATTTATATTTAATATAAACAGACGCGAATCGTCGAAAATTACTGTAAAAATCTCTAGCTAAAAAATAAAATGGATATAAATTCAAAAGTAAAAGAAGCTGTAAGTTATGGTAGTAAAAAACTGGGTTATCAATCGTTAAGAGAAATTCAACAGTAAGAATTGATATTCGCGCCAAATTTTTCAGTAAGATTCAAAATCAGGCAAGTGGCACAAGTCGCTCGCTTCCGTCTTTCTCAAGCGCTCCCTTCTTGCTACGCGCGGTCCCTACTTATATTTTTCAGGTAGTTTTATCTACTTCACACCGTAGCTATCTGTTATCGTTTCTACCTGCACTGTCACCGAATCTTATTTACTTCGAGTTATATTATATTGATAACTTTGGAAAGATTTTGAATTCCGTGCGATGAATTGAATAAAATATCTTCGAGTCTGCGGGTAATCTGTTTCTTTTGAACATGTTTAGATTACATATTGTTACTGCCGGAAACGTCACTTGCTGAAAGTGAATGACAGAAAATTGTTAAGAATGTCTTTACTCAAAATGGGAAAATTTCGGATTGATAGGGAAGGGGATCATGGGGGAATGTTCATGAAAATAATGGGGATGATCGATGGATAATTTGGGATAATAGTGATAATTGAAGGACATTAGGGGAATTGATTTGGTAATGGGAAATCTGGGAAATCTTTTCCATACTTTTCTGGAAGTTAATCCTTAACGAAGACATCTTGCATGCTATTAAAGACAGTCATACAGTGCAACCGAAGTCTGACGTGAGTGCTTCTATATATGAATAAATGTAATTCCAGACTCAAATTACTGTACAGTCGCAGGGACGCAGGTCGATTCCTGCCAGAGGACCTAGTGTCGCATTTTTTGCAACCGTGCCTGGTTAGGTCTTATATTGTGTATATCTGGATTATCCACCAAACCCAGAGTCTGCAACCGTTGGGTACATACAAAACATACATACAAACTTTATTTAACCACGCTAGCCTCAACAACCGTTGGGAGACTTATTTCCATGAGGGTCGTGCGGATGTGATTGTCGTCTGGAAGAGGTGAGGTGAGACCTTTCCCAAGTAAGTAAAGGATACTCATGGAAATACTGACAATGCCAAACATTATTACAAACTAATATGATACGAAAATTACAAGTTACAGTAGACTAACTTAGAAAGATAAGCATGCTGAAAAGTATAGGGGATTTTGCAGTATAATAGTTGATCGAAAAATTCATCTGGCATAAACTATAATTACATTCTCATAGTTAACTGTCAAAGTCGTCTGAACTGGACGTGATAGGTACGTTTTCCAATGCTCACTTAGAAATAAATAAAGAGTACACTTGTTGTAACACATGAAATAAACCAGAATAGTTTTCCAGGAGTTGTCAACGCCGCTGCCAGTCTGCCAAGACCATGTGCTGTTGTGTAAGTCATGAACACTAGGACGCACTCACGAACCGATTTATCTTTGTTTTCCATTTTTCCAAAAGTTTCTGTTGGAATTGTATCCATACTATCGCTCACCTTGCAAAAGAAGAAGACAACACGCTGGCATTAAGGTTCAATGACGTGCTACCATGACGGCCTTAAAATAGTCTGACACACATAGGGCCATCGCAAAGAGGATAAAGCAGGGGGGAGTAATATCGCATTTGCGGTCAAGATTTCAGTCGCTAATTAATATTTCTTTTCCCCAAACTGTTGGTGATCGGGAAGTTAGGAGTTGGACGTTGGTAAAAAATTCCGGACACTACATTTTTCAGTAAGTTTTGCGTTAACGTACGTTAATTGTTCGTTAAATTTTGGCTATAACTATTACTTTTAACCAGTGCCTCCTATCATGTCATACAAACGCTTTAATATTTGGGCGAGAAGAGTTTGGGAACCAATTTGGAATAATCGTTTTCCCAGCTTAAACTGTAGCCGTTGTACAGAAGACGTGATAATCTGTGATTTCCCGTTGTAAACAGAACGAGGACGACATCTAAATAAATACTCTTACGAGATTTTAATTATTCATTTCTTTTCTGCAATGTTGCGATTGTCGTTATACTAACGGCCGTCGTCGATACATTTGCGTCCTTCTTGCTTGATACACAGATTTAGATCGAGGACGCGGACGTCAAAGACGACGTGAAAATGGCGCGGCATATCCATACATGGGCAGAACACGCCATTTTCACGTCGTCTTTGACGTCCGCGTCCTCGATCTAAATCTGTCTAATAAGGTGTACACACCCGTGTCACATTTTCCCTGTGGGTAACAGGCAGAATTTCTAAATTGCAAAATACGGAACCATCCATAGTTCCTTAATTTGAATCCTAATCTAGCCCAGACTCTAACTTTAGTCTAATCTTAGTCTGACCCTAATCTTAATCTGACCCTAATCTAACTATATCTTAATCTAAACTTGACGACGCTTTTTTTTTTGGGGGGGGGGGGATTTATCACTGGACTACGTTATTCGTATACTGCGCAACAGGTGGGAAATTTGTCTGAGCATGCGCGAGCAAAATGAGCCACGCAATTGCGTGGAATACACGCAACGCGTGTTTACAAAAAGGCACAATTAATCGTGTAAATATTGCCAAAAGTTTGTACAAAATAAATGACTGTTTTATGTTGAAAATGGACATGATCTAAATTAATCATACAGAATTTTTTCGTGACGTTCTATTTCAATACCCTGCCATTGCACCTGGTGTGGTGTCCGTGTGCATTCAATCTGAAACAGTTGCTACGTACTTTGCTGTTGAAAAATTTCGAATGTTTACATGAAAATAGAGGCAAGTCATGCATTTTACAACCTCGTAAACTGTATGAGCCCCTATTTCCACGCTTATACCTAAGATATCAAATAAAAATACATGAAATTAACAGAGAACATTTTTATAAAGTTTTATCGTGAGACCACGGTCAGTTTTTAAAATATCTTTATTTCTGTTCCGGTCATCACCAAAATTACACTAAAGCCGGGCTTGAATATACAACAAATTTTGAATCTCATGAAGTACAAAAATATTTAACGTGTAGCCAAAATATGCTCATGAAATCGAAATTAATAGATAAATTTTCAAACTAGACCCTTCTCGAAGCAGTTTTCATGAAGGAAGTTCACATTTCAGCCTTTGATTCTTGGCAAAAATTTGACCACAACACATGCGAAGCAACGTACTTGGTCAGTCAAAGACTCAGCTAAAACATTGTGAGCCCCTATTTTCCCGACGATATGATTGATACCTACAAACGCCAAAAACTTTTTCTTTTCATTTTCTTAGCGGGCGCCGTCATGGCTACCACGGCAGTTTAGAGCTCTCCATTTTTTAAATAATTTGAAGCCTTTGAATGAAATATTCTGGCACTTTCTTGTTAAAATTTAAAAGCTACCAATGTTTGAACAATGATATCTGGCAGAGAATTGGTTATCTTGGTATCCGAAAGAAATATAGAGGGGAAAGATCTGGAAAGAACAAACATCGTATAGCAGTGAGAATTACGTCTCGAAATACTAGACTTCTTGATCATGGGAATCGTCGCTTTCACAATCCTTCAAACTGTGTAATACCAAAATTATTAAATTGTGATAAGACTTATGATTTACCAAACTTTCTGGTGTTAAATGCCCGATCTATTGCGGGAAAAGTTGACGAACTTCGTTGGGTTGATGACCAATATGAATTTCAAGTCATATGCATTACTGAAACGTGGCTGTGTGAAGAAATTCCTAACGAAATAATTGGTCTAAGTGATTATGACATTATCCGATGCGACAGAACTGGGAAAAAAGGAGATGGAGTTGCTGTTTATGTTCACCGAAATCTGCCATATCGAATTCGACGTGATTTATCATCTAGTAAATTTGAATGTTTTTGGCTAACTATTCAGCCGAGGAGTCTTCCTAGACAATCTCACGATTCGTTGTTGCGTATATTTATTTACCTCCTAGCCTTAGCCAAGACGAAATTGAATTGGCTTATGATTATCTGGCTTCATCCTATGATAAACTCACAACAGAGAGTCCTGATTCTGGATTTGTTATTACTGGTGATTTTAACCCTAAAAGTAACAGATTTGACTGTAAGACCCTCTGTTCACAGTGTAATTTGAAGCAAATAGTTCAATCACCAACTAGAAATGATGCTATTCTAGATCTGATTTTTCAATATAAAAGATTTGCATGATACTCCTATAACCTCGGCCTCCTTGGGAGCAAGTGGTCACGCATGCTTAAAATGGAGAACAAAAGACAAAGATCAAGGCATTAAGCCCATAAAAAGAAAAGTTAAAGTGCGTCCGGTAAGACCATTTAGACTTATTGAATTTAGACACTGGCTTTCTGATTATGATTGGTTTAGAGTATATTCTATAGCAACACTGAACGAAAAAGTTGAAAATTTTGCACGCTCGTTGGGAGAGGCTATTGATTGGTTTTTTCCAACGAAAATAGTAAACGAGTTTGTAACGACAAACCATTTATGAATGGCCGAATAAAACACCTGATATACAAAAGAGATCAAGCGTATGTGAAAAGGAACCTGGAATCTAATACGAACTTGCGTAATCTAGTGGCTCGTGAGATAAAAAAAGGGAAAGCAAATTTCTATGAGACGAAAGTTAAGCCAAACGCCCAGAATGCCAAACTTTGGTGGAAAAGTGTTAAGTCTGATCACTGTGCAATCTAACTAATAGTTCTGGGTTTACATTAATCAATAAAGACACGAATGAACCGCTCACTAAATCTCAAATGGCCAAAGAAATTAACACCTTTTTTCTGATTTAACTTCAAAATACCCTCCTGTCATGCAAGAATAGTTTTCGTGTGGTAATAATACTCCTCTGCCTTTAGTATCTGTTGATTCTGTGATCTCGCGCCTAAGAATAATTAAGCATAGTAAAGCTGCTTTGAAAATTTTGAAAGAAGCTGCTGACTTAATTGGACCAATTTTATGTGACATAATCCACCATTCGTTCTGCAGTAAAGAATTCCCAGCTAATTGGAAGATATACGATATATGTCCCATCCCAAAGATAATACCCCTTCCATCTGTTGAAGATTTAAGACCGATAGCTTTAACAAGTATCCTTTCTAAGATACAAGAATCGTTCGCTGTTGAGTGGATGACTCAGGACGTTTTACCTAATGTTACTCCATCTCAATATGGAGGCTTGGCAGGTTCATCGACAACTCTAGCACTGCTTAATCTATTACATAATTGGTATCAAGCACTCGATCAACCCCACACTAGAATAAGAGTACTTTTCTTAGATTTCGCGAAAGCGTTCGATTTAATCAATCACAATAAACTTCTTCACGATATGCAGAGAATGGGTGTCCGAGAAGCACTCATTCCATGGATTGCCTCGTACCTAAAGGGCCGGGAAGAAAGTAAATGACCAAAGTTGGAAATGTTAAATCGGAATTAAAGCAGGTGAATGGGGTGTTCCACAAGGCAGCAAAATTGGTCCATTGGCTTTTATTATAAAAGTAAACGGCTTGGAGGAGGTGTGTAAAGAAATTTCCAACAACCGAGAAAGATACAGTTATATTGTATATGGATGATAGCACTCTTTCAGAAATCCTAAGTACAGCCTCCCATGTGTCAGGTGAACAAATTGGCAAAATGCAATTACGATTAAATGCTGTGGTTAATTGGTCAAATAGTCAAGATATGGTTATGAATGGGAAAAAGTGTAAAGAGATGATCATTGATTTTAGAACGAAGAAAACTGAGATTCATGAGTTACAAATTCAGGGAATACCAGTAGATCGTGTCAATTCGTTTAAATTGCTTGGTCTGTGGTTAGACAACAACTTGAAATGGGAAACAAATACTTGGGGTATAATTAAAAAAGGTCGGAAAAGACTGTAATTTTTTGAAAATTTTAAAGAATTATGGAGCCCCAAAAGCTGACTTAATAAAGTTCTATAAAACCGTAATTAGACCTGTTCTTGACCGTGGGCTGGGGGATTGACAGTAAAGCAACGAATCAATATTGAAAGAGTCCAAAAGCGAGCGTTACAGATCATCTGTCCAAGAGAGAAGTATGAGAATGCACTTTTATCAAATGAAATTACCAGATTGCAAGAACGAAGGAGAGATCATTGTATAAACTTGGTTAGTGATTTATCAGAAGAAGAGCACAAACATCACCACTTGCTTCCACCAAGGAAGTGTCAGATAATAACAAGAAATACCAGATCTAATAAAGATCTTTTTTATAATTTTAATAGTAGAACAAATAGATTTAAATTCAGTCCAATACCGTATGCTGTAGACACTTTTAACTCTAGTAACAATGGACGATGTTTTATCTAGTAACTAATCTTTGTAAATTGCATAGTAATTTAGCTTTGTATCATTGTATGCGATATTTAAACCAGTTTAATAATAAAAAATAATAAATATTTGAAATTGAGGCCACGGGCTATTTTTAAGGAAATACAGTTCAAAATAAGCTATTTTTACATATTCTCAAAATTTGTCAAATTTCGCGAGCTTGTATTTTGAACTTAGACAGCTGAAGTTACATTAAGAAACATAGGATGGAAAATTTGAGGCATATAAAGTTAATTTCAACTTACATTTCATTCTCATATCACGTCTTTCTTCGTTTATTACGGTTTTAAACAAGCCATAGCTCGACGTGTACGGTATTTACTGCCATGTTCACGTCACCATATTCACTTCTTCCAATCACTCGATTACAAAAAAGTCATCGTTTATAGAAACACCTTCAACAAACAACCAATCACATCGAAGAAAAACACCTTGAAGTTGCTTGAACAAACAACCAATCACACCCAAGGTCATCAAATGATCAAATCTTAAGGTCACAGTCATTCTTTCGTCCGGCCTAATGCTCTCCCGCATACTGTATTTTGTTTTTGGATATGGTATGATACCTAATCCACAAGAAACCAGAAATGTTGCGAATTCATCCTGAAGAAATTCTGATAGGAAATTTCATCCTCTAGTTCTAACTCTTACAAGATGATGATAACACTCAAATTCTTTCCTTCTTTCGATCCATGATCTTACCCAAGTATCCCTCTCCCTTCATTTTGGCAAATTCTGCTGAGTTTCATCGTCTATTAAGTCAAGCAGTATCAAAAGTGCCAGCCGAGTTTACCAAATTTGCCACTCACCTGCACATTTTTGTATTTATAAATTTCTCAGATTCTACATTTGAAAATCTGTCTTAATTTTACAAGAGCTACAATCCGCCATTTTTCCTTCCCTGCATCCCATTCTCCCGATATCAAAATTCAACCTAAAGACAGTTGTGATAACATTTGACTCTTTTCTATTACTATTATACCTATGTGAAAACATTGTGTTTTTTTTAAACTTACCGTTTGTACTTCCATAACGAGCAACTTCACTATTTTATATGCTCTTTAGTTAAAATTGTTGTTGTTACCTACTTGACCAACGACCACGGCAAGCTTCTGAATTAACATATAAGATAAGTCGTTTTTGAAGCGAGTTAAAGCACTTGTAGTGCTTTAAATAGTACTTCACGTGTAAATAGCACTTGCGTGCTTTAAATAGTACTTAAAGCCATAAACTGTAATTAGCTTTACGTGTTTTCATACGATAGATACGGGATAACAATTTTTAACTCGCAGTTGACATTCAGTAACAAATTTTAAAAATAAAAAATGCCAATTGCTTTATCTGTCTAGGTGTCACTTTTGCTTGAATTGACTTGTTTATTTAAAATTATTTATTTAAAACTATTTCCCAACGGTAACCCTTCAGCAGGACAGCTGCGTACTGAATATTACTTTCAGAAAGAAATGAACAAATTGCACTAAGTTGATTTGCACGAATAAAATTGTTAATTCTTCATTCAAGTGCGCCATATTCACTGTACCACTGCATGTACTCGCAATTGCATGTTTTTGTCTCTTAGTTTGCATAAATATTTAACAAAGGGGCTGTTCCTACATGTGGATCCGGTTAATTATTATTCGGATTGATTCGTTTAATGAAAAAGCTGTGAATTCAATTGATAGGGATACAACTGAAAATTATATCCCAAAATGACATTTCAATGTTGATTTAGCTTAGTTTGATTCCAGTAACAAGCAAGGTTCATTCAAACGATATTTAATGGCCAGGAAAATTTTCGTGTCAGGATTTTATATCCCGGCTCATATGAACAGCCCATATAAATGGATCATGTGAGGTGGATCACGAGAAGATATTCTTACTGGAATTAAAGGGAAAAGCATTCATGACAAGCTTTTCAAAACATTATTCAGATTTTGAACATTTTCACATTAGGGTTGTTGTAATTATACGAAACATGTGGCAAAATTGCTTGCAATTTCCTTTGCATTTGATAGTTTCTGTGTTCTTCTACAACCCTCAAGTAAACAACTTTCCCCACAGGTTAAACAACTGCTCGAAGCCGAACAAGAAAAGTTACACTCTAATGGCATATTTTGTTACCACCGGCCTAATAGCATTTTCTTATTCTGCCCGTATTCTAAAAACTTACTCTCACACACACACACACACTCAATGAATGGAAGTTCAATCCGAGCTTCTTGGTTGGCACTGACTGGTTCACTGAGTCGAACAGGGATTCTTTTAATATTTAATGAGATAATATATTCTATACAAAATGAAAGTTACCTAGTGCTAAAACACATGCATTCCAATCATATTTTCGCGACATAACATGGTAAAATTGACTAATAACAAAATACTACAAATACAGCATGCATATAAAACAATTAAACATCTGTACCTGAAGGGTAGATCCCTGCAGGACTTGAATCAAACATACAACTTTACGTTAATATCTCTCTAACTATACGTCATTTAAACCGTCTCTTTACAAAATACTGATACAACTAACGCCTATAATGTCACCCAAAAATGTCATCACTTAAATGTCTATATAAACCATGACAGAACTTAATATTAACTATATCAAATGTCAAATGTTGCTCGCTATTTACACCACTTCTCTTGAGTGTCATTGCTGCTTTTGAATAGCTGGATGACACTAACCATCCAGCTATTCAAAAACAGCAAAGTGTCGTACCAGTTATACTATGTGACTACTCATGCAACCTCCAGCTATAGAAAATAGCATTGGCATCCAAGAGAAGCTCATATTGAACCTCCACTCATTGAGTGTGAGTGTGAGTGTGAGTGTGAGTGTGAGTGAGCTTTTAGAGTTCATGCAGGCGTATGTATGTTGACATGCACCTCTCATTTTGGATATATAGCCGAAAATTTGAGAATTTTAAAATTTTACCTAAACAAGTATTATATGTTGACTAAAAGTCGAAACACACCGGACGCGATTCGACAACGCAGCGCGATTTTTCAGTTTTTAAAAGTTAATAAAACAGCCAATGAAAGGCAATTTTAAAATATATGTAGACCAAATAACTTAAGATGTTAGAGCGCTTCTAAATAATTGGAAAACTTAAACCAGAATCAAAGTTATCGGTCAGTGAAAATCGAAAACTCGCATCCGGTGTGTCCGAGGCCTTAAAAATGCAAAATTACAAGTTCATGCACTTTTAATTTCGCAAAAATAGCCTATACCATTAGAAAGTTTGCAAAAAGTGCAGTATACAGTATGTGACATTTAGTGATTACTGCGATTTTTCAAGCCAATTTTTGAGTAATTTTGTACCGGAGGTGCGCACAATGAGCGCACCCCTATAAATATTTATCCGTCATTCCTGAACAAATGATCCCATTTGCCTGTGCTTTCATGACTTTTAATATTTTTCCTCTGCCGTTATGACTGCGAAAAAATGTTTCTGGAAATTCAAAGTTATCCGGACGTTTGCCGACATTTGTCAAACAAGGTGTCGGGGCCAAAAATGGGAAAATGTGGGTTGGACAGTATTTTTTGGCTGAATCACTTCCCAGGACATAAATAACATAATATAATTAGAGAACATATAAAGACGGATTATTACACATAGCTTGCAAAGTAAAATATCCATAATATATTATATAAAATAGTAAAATATAGTATAACATATAAATATAGCATACTATACAATACTTTATATATAATATAAAATACTTATTTATAATATTTTTATATATTCAAATACACATATTTCTTTGTACCTTCAAGGCATATAGCAAGCACCAAACATGTAGGATGCATTATATATTGAACACTTTTGTACAAGAAATTTTCCATTTGAGAGTAAAGCTTTTGCATAAGGCGTAAAAAAATCTGTGGTTCCGGTTCCCGACCGATCCTATTTTTTTCTGCCGACCCTATTATTTTTTCAACGCGATTGACCGTGCGACCCTATTTTCTGCGGGTGGTTGCGGCTAGCTGCCAAAATGGCGTCTGTAGTCACACTAATTATTGAAAAAAACATGAAAAAAAATATTAAAAAAAAAATTATTTCCGACCTACCGACCCTAATTTTTTCGCGATATGAAACCGGAACCACAGGTATTTTTTTACGCCTAAAGTCATGGGCGTACCGGAAGGAAAAAATTAGGGGGGCGACTTTTCCGGATTTTGCCCGACTATTACCAAAAAAAAATTTTCCGGAAAAATTATTTTGGCGACCTCCCCCCCCCGTCGCCAAAAAAATTTCGGTAATTGTACCATTTTAGGGGTCAAAAAAATTTGCCGGACATACCAAAATGTTTCGGAACATCATACAAATTTTCCAAACACCACAAAATTGACCACAAAATTTACTGAATTTCCGACAAAAATGACAGCATTTGTCCCATTTATTTTTATAATTTACCAAAATTGCCCGACTGTTCATCGAATTTTGCCCGACTGCCCAAAAAACTGGGGGGGGGCTACCGCCCCCCCCCGTCCCCCCGCCCAGTACGCCTATGCCTAAAGTTCAGACTGATTGCCATGATTTTCAAAGTAAATATTGTGCTTTCAAAACTATACTGCAGGCTCGTAGCTCACCTGTCTTACACTTCATGTAACACATAGTATATTGGTATAACTGGCTGCCATTTCGTATTTTTCTACAAACTTTTGTTGGTTGACTTCAGTGTAACGTTTTATGTTTACACTAAAGAAGTTATGCCAACAAAAAGTGCCAGAGTTTCAACAGAATGCACAATTGCGACACATTATTACAACAATGACACTGTCACAGTGATATGAAGGTAAAATCAGTGATGTTGAAACTTGAAAATGATTTCGATAGTTTTAGAGAGACAGGTAAGTTTCAGTTGTATGTCTTTTCATATGGCACAGAAATGCCAACTTGGAAAGTAAAATAATGGTGTTTATGGATGTTATATTGTAAGAAATAATATAGATATGTAATGTGAACGTTAATACTTATAGGAAACTATTATGAAATATATACATCGCTTCATCTATGCCTCGTGTCTCCGTGTCTGTCCTTCCCCGTAAGTCCTCTTCCCCGAATCCCGCTACCAGTTCACTTCCGTCTATACGCACTTCCGCTACTAGAACACAACATCTCCCTTTTACTTTAGAATATGAAATATACTTATGCAAACAATCATGCACCTAAATTATGACCAAAATTCAATAGTTCTGGTTTAAATGTCAACCTAAACAATAGTACCAATATTTTAACAGTTAAGTTTCTTCGCGCAAGAACCGCGGTCTTCTTCGTACTCTTGCCGGATACCTTCGTGGAATATCTTGTGGCTGTTCGTTATTATCTTCATCGTCCGTTACATCGCTAGCGCTGTCGTCGCATTCCTGTTCATCAGCACTTTCGTCTTTCGAGTAAAATCTTTTGAAATGCGATACGTTTCTGGTGGTAGTGAGATCGTGTCTCGCTGCGGTTATCTTTGTGCCATTAACTTTCGTTACAGTCAAAGGTGTTGGATCGAAAACAGTACTAAATTTGTTTTTTCGTTCTTGTTTCACCAAAACTTTCATTCCTACTTCGATGTTTGCTTTCCGAGCTCGTCGTCTTTTATCTGTATACTGCTGCGCTTTCGACTGCTTCTCTGACGTATTTATCTTAGCCTGTTCGTGTAAAATCTTGTAATCAATATCCACCTCTTTTACAAAAGTTGGCATGTTCGTACGAACTTCGCGATTGAACAACAGTTGACTTGGTGCTACCCCGGTGGTACAGTGTGGTGTAGTTCTGTAAGCTAACAGAAAACCATGTAGCTTTTCTTTCCAATCCTTTCCTTCCATTTTCGCTGCTTTTACAGCCTTACCGAGGGGCTTCATGAACGACTCGGCTTCCCCGTTGGCCTGTGGCCAATAAGGTGTTACAAGCCGGTGATTTATTCCGCGATTTCGCATGAATTTCTTCACTGCATCACTAGCAAACGGTGGACCATTGTCCGAGTAGATTTCAGTGGGAATGCCATGAACTGCGAAAATTCTGTCCAGGCGATTCGTGACTGCGCTGACAGTAGTGGATTTCATTATTTCCACTTCTGGGAACTTTGAATATGAATCAATGACAACAAAAAGTGTTTCCCCCGTGGGAAATGGACCGCAAAAATCCATGTGAAGTCTATCCCATGGTTTGGAGGGCAATTTGTGTTGTTGAAAAGGCGGTGGCGGATCACCATGCCCGAGAGACTGGCATGCGTGACAATGCTTAATAAACTCTTCCGCATCTCTGTCAATTCGCGGCCACCACACTTTCGTCCTCAGGGCTTGTTTTGTTTTGACAATGCCCTGATGACCTTTGTGGGCATGTGTCATGGTTTCATTTCTAAGCCTTGTTGGAATGATCAACTTATTTGCACGGAGCAAGAGACTGTTTGGTGTGACAGCGAGTTCTTCTCTCACTGCATAAAAGGGATGATGCTTTGCCCAGACACCCGATTGGATACTTTCAATCGCTGATTGCATTTCTGGATCAACTGCAGTTGCTGCAATAATGGACTCGATACTCATGGCCTTGGGGATGGTGTTCTTCTCTATAAAATTGATATATTGTTCAACAATGTCACAATGTTCAGTGTATACTACAGGTAGTGGTTGTCTAGAAAGTAGATCAGC